CATTAGAAAATCATAAGAACATCATAAGAACGTCATTAGAGCATCATAAGAACATCATTAGAACATCATAACAACGTCATTAGAACATCAACAGAACATCAACAGAGCACCATTAGAAAATCATAAGAACATCATAAGAAGATCATAAGAACGTCATTAGAACATCAACAGAACATCAACAGAACATCATTAGAACATCACTAGAAAATCCTAAGAACATCATAAGAACATCATCAGAACATCATAAGAATGTCATTAAAACATCAGCAGAACATCAACAGAACATCATTAGAACATCAGCAGAAGGTCAGCAGAACTGGGTCAAAGCCTTCATAACTCCATCGGGGTAGATACCCTTCTGGGTTCCCCACCTGAGGCCTGACAGCTTTAGGGTTCCACACCTGAGGCCTGACAGCTTTAATATTCCCCACCGGAGACATGGCAGCTTTAGGGTTCCCCACAATGCAGGTTTCTGGTCTGGTTCTGCATTCTTGGGCAGCGATGGACCCAGTTTGGACTGAATGTCACTGTTTAGGGACATTTTCAGACAAAAGATTAGTCAGGTTGCCTGTTTTTGCCCGTTTTTGCCTGTTTTTACCTGTTTTTGCCTGTTTTTGCCTGTTTCCATGTGGAACTCTCCGGCTTAGAGCCCCGCCCCCTTTTACTGGGCGGCTGTTCTGGGCCGGAGGAGCAGAACTCGGTCTGAGGAAGCTGACAGCTGCTGGGATGTGGCTCAGGGCTGGTCCTGCTTCACCTTTATGGGTGAAACTGGATCACTTCATGGCCTGATCTGAGAAACTAGATCAGAGGCCTCACAGGACCTGAAAGTGAAGGCAGACGCTCTATTTAACCGTCTGATGCTTTGAGACTTCTCTCTTTGACGACATCAGGCTGGAAAAGGGCCCATGAGCCCTTATTTCTGCTGCTCCCCAGTGCTTTGAGTGCTTTCTGCCCTTTTTTCTGCACACATAAAGGATTAAAGGTTCCTCTGTGGATGTAAATGTCCTCTGGTATCGTAATGGAGCAGAGCAGCTATCTGCTCAGCTATCTGTTAGCTACTAACTATCCAGGACAGCAGATGAAAAGGTTTCCGGTTGTTCAGAGGACGATAAACTAACCTTAGATTTAACCAAATTTAGATCCAACAATTGGGGGATGAATGAAAAAATGTTTTTTGACTGAAGAACAAAGATCAAAAAAGTTCAAGAAATAAAAAGTGTTCCGTGCAATTGAAGACAATAGAATTTGATAAAATATGTCAAAAAAGATACTCTAAATGAATTAGAAAAATAACTAATTAATGCAGGAAAATTCACTAATAAAAAAAAAAGACCAAATGCAAAATAATGACAAAAAAATCGCAGATGAAAATAACCAAATAATAACAACAGAAATAATGCAGAAAAAAAACCCTGGTCCCGGTCCTCCACAGGACCCTGGTCCAGGTCCACCCCCTGTCCCCTCTGTGGGACAGAATCTGGGTCACGGCCCTCCGCTGCCCCTCCACACGTGAGCCTGAGCAGAATAATCCTCCATTTCTGATCCGGGCGGCTGAACTCACAGGTATTACACGTCAGGCTGATAATCCACAACTCGTTCAGACTTTCACTTCCAGGGCTCAGATCCCACCGGTCGCTTTATTCCCATTATTAACGGAGCACAGGAGCCCCAAGTCAGCAAACGGGAAGTCCTGATGTAAAAATCCTTTAAACTGAGACGGTTTGAGCGTTTTTGTGTTGAAATCTGTTCAAAATGTGTCTGAACCAAACCTCCACCTACGTTTAGCGCTTTTGCTCAGAGGTTGTGCTCCATAATGGAGCCCTTCTGCCAAGTCACCCGTTTCCACGGTGATTCCCGCCCTTTTTAGAGGTGACAGCCATATTAGGACATCTCTGCTGTCCCGTCGCCAGGGCGATTCCCGCCTTTTTCAGGGGACGTCCATATATACGCAGCTCAGATCAGACAGATTTCTCTTCAAACTTCAAATGAGCTGAAAAACAGACATTAAAAAAACTGAAAGCTTTACACGTTTTTTGATTTTCCAGTCTGGAAAGTTTCAGCCTTTTTGTTGCAGAATGAGGGGTTTGGTTCTTCCTGGTTCCCACTCAAGAGCCCTGGTTCCCCTGTGGTTCTGGTCCTGGTTCCCTCCATGGTTCTGGTTCCTCCTGGTTCCCACTCAGGAGGCCTGGTTCCCCTGTGGTTTTGGTCCTGGTTCCTCCTGGTTCCCCCTCAAGAGCCCTGGTTCCCCTGTGGTTCTGGTCCTGGTTTCCTCTTTTGTTCTGGTTCCTCCTGGTTCCCACTCAAGAGCCCTGGTTCCCCTGTGGTTCTGATCCTGGTTTCCTCTTTTGTTCTGGTTCCTCCTGGTTTTCCCTGCTGTTCTGGTCCTGGTTTCCTCTTTTGTTCAGGTTCCTCCTGGTTCCCCCCCTGCAGTTCTGGTTCTGGTCCTGGTTCCTTCCCTCCCCTGAGCGTGCCTCTCTCTCCACAGTTCACCGGCCTGAGCGTAACGGCGGGCGCTGACCAGCTGGTGGCGCTGCACACGGCCTCCCAGGACGACGTGCTGCTCTGCCTTCAGCGTGGAGAGCTGAACCCCGACCAGGACCGGGTGGGCGAGCTGGTGGGGGCTCTGGTGGACCACTTCACACGGTCAGTCCTATAAGAACAGATGGAGAACTCAGACATGAAGAATCCTCTGAAATCAGGAGCTGATTTTAAAAATGAGGCTTAAAGTGTCTCACTGCTCAGTTTGATAAAGAATACTCTGAAAACAGGAGCTGATTTGCAATAAAACGATGGAAAAATGTCAGTTTTTACACAAGAAGCTGAAATAATCCCACAAATTCATTTGGGAATCAGATAAATTACTAAAATAAATAAAAATAAATCAGAATATCTGAAATTTAAACTTTGAACCAGCTCTGATTTCCACTAAATGAGCTCTGTCCCAGCAGATGTTACAGACAGAAGTGGAAACATGTCTTTAGGAGCTGGAAACAGGTTGATTGCAGAGCAAAAAATGGACAAAAATGTCTCAGTGCTCAGTTTGATGAAGAATCCTCTGAAAATAGGAGCTGATTTTACACTAAAACGATGGAAAGATGTCAGTTTTTCCACAAGAAGCTGAAAAAATCCCACAAATTAATGTGGGAGTCAGATAAATTACTAAAAGCTGGTGGACTGGATCAGGGTCTGACTGCTCCCTTTTTTTGGGGGGGGGGGATCCAGAGGAAGGCTGGGGAACCGGGTCGGGTTTCTGTTTGATGAGATCAGCACCATGTGGATCA